CCAGGAGTGTCAAACTGGCGGCCTGCAGGCCAGATGCATTATGTGCAGGCTACACCCACCCCAGCTCTACAAAGGGAAAAATGTCATGAAACATCACATGACGGCATGTGACGTAGCGAGTTTGATACCTGTGCTATATATGGTACTATTATTGTCTTTTCTTATAATATTTAATGCATTCCTTGCTCACCGATACCAAAACATTCTAAATCTTATTTATGAATTGCCTTTATTTTTATATTCTAGATGTCTATTGCAATATTCAACATTCTTCAAAATACTTCCTTTAAACATGAATAATCAGCTATATTATTTTGTTTTATTATGACAGCAATTTCTCTAACTTTTCTTAAAATATAAATGGGCAAATTGGTGAATATCATGAATTATTTCTGAAGTTCTAAATTTTCTGCTTGCTGATTTAGTTTAGAATCTGCCTTGTCCAAATAACCTTTCACCCAGTTCATTCAAAGCCCTATTTTCTTCATTGTCTCTCATATCATTTTGTATATTTAGTTCTTTACAATCGGCAGCATTTCTAAGTTTATTTCTACACAAGCACATATTTAAGTCTACTAAGGTGCTATAAAAGAATGGGTCACTTCTTTTTTCCTATTATTCTTCAGTATTATGGCACTTGTACATGCTGATAATTTGTATGACAAATGAGGGTTAAAACCACATGACTTTAGATCAAATAGCAGTAAAAGATGTTTGCTGATGCTTTTAGAGTCATACATTTTAACTATTGTCAGATAATGAGGAATGGCATTATCTAAAGGGCATGCTACTGAATGCAGATATATCACTTTCTTCAGACCTTCAGTTCATGTTAATAAAGAAGCATGTAATAATATATCAAGCTCTACTAACAATATTTCAGATAGCTTATTATTATTTATTATGGATTTCCCAAGGTTCAAATAATCAATATAAATGATAAATAATAAGTTTTTGGCTATGTGGAATAACTATACTAAAAAGTTTACTAAGACGTTGTTATAATACCTGAACATTCTGTTATATCAGTGTTTTTCAACCACTGTGCCGCGGCACACTAGTGTGCCGTGACATAGTGTAAGGTGTGCCGTGGGAGAATTACTTTATATATAGTCAATATAGGCACAGAGTTAAAAATTTTTAACATTTTCTAATGGTGGTGTGCCTCGTGATTTTTTTCATGAAAAAAGTGTGCCTTTGCACAAAAAAGGTTGAAAAACACTGTGTTATATTATTCCCTCATTAATACTCCACAAACGTTTAACTGCCATTAATAAAAATCTATTATTCAAAAGGAAATTAAGCAAATATTGCATACGGTGCTAGATAATCAGTCTTAGATTTATTTTTAGCTGATCAAGAGAGTTGCAAACTCATACATTCATCTTCTTGTGTATGGATTAATGCCCATAGAAATACAGAATACAACCTTGATTTTACCCACCAACAGATTTCATTTGTTACTTCCAGTTTCATCATTCTGGTAATTAGTTACTTTCTTTATTTCTCAACCTATATTTAGATTTTTTTTACAAAGTTGTAGTTCTATTTGTCTTACTTTGCATTTCTTTAGCACTAAACTTTATATGTTCTTTTTTGCAAAGCCATTAGATCAGGGGTATCAAACTCAATTTTGCTGAGGGCTGCACCAATGTTGTGTTTGACTTTGGGGAGCCGGGGTGGCCGTGGCCAGATTGGCCATTGCCAGCTTGATGTCAGGGGCGTCTGTGGTGGACCAAGCACTCTGCCAGTGAAAACGGGCTCCGTTTTCAGCTGCAACTGCCTCCTGCAACCCTCTACCAGTGAAAACAGAGCTTTGGAGTGCTGCCCGTGGCCCTCACAAGCTCCATTTTCAGCTCCAATGGCCTCCTGCAACCTTCTGCCAGAGAAAACATTTTTGCTGGCACAGGCACCACGGGTCAGTCCTTTACTGCTTCCAGTGCAGCCTCATGGGCCAGATCTAAGCACCCTGTGGGCTGGATCTGGCTCCTGGGCCTTGAGTTTGACACCCCTGCAATAGATCATTTAAATCAGACATGCAAAATATAACACAATTTAACCCCCTTTAAAATTTAACTATGCCAGTCAAATTATTAATGGTTCTAGTCTTTTTAAAAAAATATGGAAATATTGTACAGAAATATAAGTCAGCATTATTAAAAAAATATCCCTATATGGAGCTATTATACTTAAGTTAAACAGTCACATAGACACGATGAACATAAAAACACTCTAAATACTTGTATCGTAAACTATGAACGTGTTGCTTCAAAATAATTTTCTAAAAAAAGAAAACCTAGTAGCAAAACATAATTTCCAGAAATATCTGCAGGAAGGAGGCAAATGATGAAACAAGCATCACAGTGTTGCATATGTAATGAATCATGCTTGCACTACCACACTAATCTGTCTATCTGTCTGTTGGTCTGTCTGTCTATCTATTTTATATAACCACCTATAAAACAAAAGTGATTCTGGGTACACATAACAATGAGATAAAACAATAAAGTGAAAACCCCTACAGATATAAAGTGTAAAAATGCATATTAATAAATAACATAAAAACCAAAGATACAAGGTTGATAAAAATGACAATCTCAACAATAGAGCCATCTCAATCAGTCTCCAGTACCCTGGGAGCTTCAGGCCTGATAACCAAGTCTTGAGGGTCTTTTTTGAATATCAAAAGTGATAGAGCTAATCTAGCACATCTCCTGGGACCCAACAAATGTACTGTAGGTCCGTACCCAATGGGACCTGCAACAGTCACTCTCTGCCAGATCTAATGCATAATATAATTGAGGAGTCCCTCAGATAGCCCAGTCTCATGCCATGAAGAGGTTTAAAGTTTAAACTGGCATCTTAAATTGGACCAGAAGCAAACTGTCTAATGGAGCAGATGTGTAATAAGCACTATTCTAGGAGCACACATAACTGCCCATGCTGCTACATTCTGTATCTGCTAAGGCTTCTAGATACTGTTCCCTTATAGAAAACATTGCAGTAGTCCAATCTGGAGGTCACTGGGACATGAGTACTGTAAGTAGGATCTACTGATCCAGGAATGAGCTGAATTGGTCTGCAATATGAAGTTATGAAAAGGCCTTCTTAGCCAAATTTGTCACTTGCTTCAAAACCATCCAGCTGAAGTCTATTGTTCCCCATTCAGATCTCCATAGCCTCAAAATATCAGAATAAGATGCTCATAGTATCACTGAATTCACCAGGGATGGCAATATATAATCCATGGTAATCCCTGGTGATGGATGAGCTCACCAGCAGTTTCATGTAGATATTAACATGAGAAAAGAAAGCATTTTACATATCATCACTCCTGGGATTGGTCCTGAATAAAAGAGGCAAACTAGCACAATGCTGTGCTACCCACATCCAATCCTCTGGGCTAATTGAAAAGGATACCATAGTGGCACTGATAGCCACTGAGAGGTCAAGTAGGGCATAAATGCTCTAGCCCCATTCCGTTCATGGCAGATGCAATACATAAGCATGATCAATGCTATTTCTGTCCCGTTCCCAGAAAAGGCCTACATAATCCACTTCCTCCAAGGCCCTCTGAAACTGTTGCACAAGCACCATTTTTACCACTCTACCACAAGAAAAGATGGTGAGAAAGAAGCTTTCCCGCATCACTTCCAAATATTTGGATTGTAACAATAGGGAGGGTGTGTAGAGGAATTGAAGTAGGTTATTGCTATGGAATTTATATTTAAAATAAATTTCTTATCTTTAAAATAAATAAAACAATTTAAGCAATCTCAGGTAAGAAAATATTTAACTTCAGCCTTTGACAGACAAGTCTATGTATTTCTTCATTATCCAAATCTTATCACTTCTTCGCAGCTCTGAAATCAAATCCCATATTTTAAAGAAGTTCTAACTGTAAAATAGTTTATTACCTTAGCAAATGATGACATTGAAAAAAGTACTAATGGCATCTCTTATATAAAATTTTAGAAAATACCATCCCATATAAATGAGAAGTCCAGAGCAACAATAATAAGACTTAAATAAATCCTGATGATATTTGCTTGTTAAATGTTTATGAATATGGATAAAATTCCATTTCTTTGGGCCAACATATAGTTGTCCATGTAAAGGAGATACATAATAGAATAAATTGAACAGTTTATCTAGTGAATTTAAACACTGTACTCAGAATCCATATATAACATTTTAATTAAAATTAAAATTTTATAATTTAACATTTAGTTGATGAAAAGATCATTTTAATAAAAAAAATCTACCCAAATCCGATTCTAGTTTAAGACTATAAAATGCACAGAATAACCCTTGCATATAAACAGTAGCATAATAAATAAGCAGCAGTAACAGATACTTAAGGTTAAGCACAGAATGTGCCTGCTTGCATTTTCCTATCTCTGTGTCTAACTAACAAACAGCCTTTGCTGATTAGTTTAGGTTAATGTGTTTCCTAACACAGTTACTTACTAATCAGGAGAAAAGAGGGAAGAAGCCCATGGATTAAGTTACGTTTTGCTATAAACACAGATAAGCATAATGTGACTTTTTAATATATTTTCTGTTCTAGTCTTATTCCCCCCCCCACCCCAATGTTGTGAATGTGTCTGATTTCAAATTAGAATAAGACTAGATCAGGAAATGAGGCAGATTTTTTTAAAACATTTTCTTTAAAAGATCAGGCCACAATTTAAAAATACAGATTTTTCTCTTTTTACTTCACTGGAATACATTTGTATACATAAAATGAATTTTCTGTGTTGCAATATATTTATACGATCAAAATGTAAAATCCACATTTGAATGAATATGTGTGTGTGTGTGTGTGTGTGTGTGTGTGTGTGTGTGTGTGTGTGTGTATA